CTACTGATTAATTGGATAACATTTGACTTCAACTAAACAATATTCGAAGTTAAGGGGCCATTTTCGAAATTCTTATTCTTATTAACTTTTATGTTTTTGCATTACGCGGGACCTATTTGGTAACAGATGACCAGTAAACCATCAACAAAGCACATAACGAACTTTTGCTGTGAACAGCAACAAATTACCAACCACCTAAAACTTAACACATAACTCGACTCAGTTTTTTTTGGGTTAAATTGTGTATAATGCATCGCCTAAACCGGTTTGGCTTCATTCGTGTCTCAAACCCGGTTATCCAAAACCACAGCGTACCAAGACTCAAAAAGCAAAAATGTGTTTTCTGTAAAAAGAAAAAGGAAACAAAAAAACAGAAATAAACTATACACAAATGTGGAACTAGGTCCCAAGTTTAAAGCTACTGCAGTTTTCGGTTATCTAATTGGTTCTTCAGTTTGGCTGGTCCCCAAATACGGATGGTCTGGTCATCACTCGCAGAGGCCAGCATCCGAGGATTTCTCGGGTTCCAGCTCACACAGTTCACAGTCATGGAATGACCTGATAACACTTCAAGCGGCTTTGCGTTCTTCAAATTCCATATGTAAACCTGTGAACGTTTAACAAATCAATCTCTACCAAAAGGAAACTTTTATCGGTCTGCAGATATGTGCTTACCTGTGAATTTTCACTTCCACTGGCGATGAACAAACTGTCCAACCCACCAAAACATGACCGTATCACGTATTTGCTCTGCTTGTGACCCGAAAACTTCAATGGTTGTTTCCACTCTCCAGCAAGGTCCCAAAGATGTATCTCTTGGCTACTCAAGTTGACTATAAAGAACTTACCATTAGCAGAAATCGAAAGGGATGTAATTGGTTGTTCCTCAGAGATAACACGTTCGACTTTTGTCTCCAAATTCAAGATCCGAATATCTTTATCCGAAAACACCGTGATCATACTCTCGCCATCTGGCGTCACAGCCAAATCCACTACCTATTGGTAAAATTCCACAGTCCGAATTTCAGTATTTGAAGACTGCAACACGAAAACTATAAGCAAAAACCCTTTCACCAGTACTAACCTTTGGAATTCTCGTTCCTCTCCAGGCTTTGATCTCGTTTCCATCAGTGTCCCACATTACAATCCCTCTTTCTGGGTCAGAACTGCCCCAGACAAGCCGAGTTGAGTCAGGGAACCATGCGCAAGAGCTGACCGTGAATCCGTTATCGTTGTTTCCAAATGTGTGTCTCAACACACCTGTGTCAACATCCCATAGCTTTAGAACCTCAGCATTTCCACATGTAAGCAACTTAGTATCGTCAGGGCTCCACGAGACAAAAGACACTGGATTTTGGTGGCTCTGAAGAGTGTGCTTCAGTTCGAGTTTGTTGTCATCCAGTACCTGAAACAAGAAGTGTTAGAACAATACCAAATTATATCAATCTGTCAAAAGACCATAAATAATCTCATCTTTAGTCCTTAAAGACACAATCTCGAAATTATCTTAAGATGAGAAGTGGTAAGGAAAAAATTTATTAACCCTGAAGTACTAAGACCTAGTTACATGGCTCAAAACAACAAATCACTATGGATTAAATGGTATAAAAGTTATTGTTCTTTTCGTGGTCTTAAAAACGGCTTTCTACCTTATATGCCAAGTTTGAAGCCAGACATCCAAATGTTATTTCCTTTATTTTTTTTCACCCCACTGCATGAAGAGATGTACAAGAAGAAACCTTGTAAGGTTCTCTTACCCTTGGTAGCAAGTTCTTCTCGTCTCATTCTCAATGACATGAAGTAAAAATATGTGAATGCCATGGTATAAGAAAGTTATACCTTCCATATTATAGCTGTACAATCGCTTGATGCAGTGGCCAGATATTTGCCATTGTTAGAAAATTGCACAAACCACACTTCATTTTTGTGTGCCATCAAAATCTGCAAGATAATAAGAGATAAACTATAAAAAACCAGTGACAACAAAAGTCCCGAAGACATATCTGATGTATATTAACATAACCACCAAATTGTATCCCATCCGACTATCATTGTAAATAAATTTAAAAAAACTAAGCAGTTTTGCCTATGGAAAATTTTGCCCATGGCTGCCTCAATATCAAAATGAAACATATGGTTACTAAGGCAGATAAACAACACCTGAACTGTTTCTGAAGGAATTTGGTCTCTACCGCAATGGTGATCCTTGTAGAGTGATACTGCATCCCATGAATTATGATACATACACGAATCGATCTGGTCCATCACAGCAGTCTCAACCAAATGTTCCAATCTTCTCTCAGGAATAACAATTGGCGAAGGGATTAACATCTCCAGTTCGACCAACAATCTTTTCCTCAAATCTTGAACTAAACAGTTGTCTACTTCTCCGGATTCCATCTCTTTCGAAGAAATAATGTCACAAGCAAGCCTGTGAATCTTCTCTTTCCCCACCAGTAACATAGGAGCTTGCTTCCGTAGCACATTCAATGCTGAAGAAGCATCCCCACGTTTCAAATACTCAAACAAACATTGCTTGAACACTAGATACAAAGCCGTATTTCTCACATCATCCTTAGGATTATCGAAAATTCTGTCGAGCACCCCTAAGCAACTACCCCAATTGCCACTCAAAACTTGCATTTCAAGAATTGCAAAGTCATCCGATTTACACGAGATGTTCGACTCGTTTTCAAGACAAGAAGCAGATTTCTTGAATCCTAACGAGTATAAGCATTGGACCATAATCCTAACGAATTCATGTCTCTTAACCAACCCTTTTGAACCTAAAACCTCCCATGAACCGTTCTCCATCTGGACCACTCTAAGCTAAAGCAATTTATAAGATTTTCTAAAAGCAGCTAACTTCCACATTCAATAGTTGAAAGGTCCACAATGTCAAATAGGGAAGTACCAAGTTTCCCGCTGAAATTTGACTTTCTTCAATCACCAGTAATACAAGGAACCCAAAATACTTATATAACAGTAAGAAACATGACCAAATCAGAAAATAAATTTCCCAGACTCCAAAGCAAATCACCTACCTAAAACGAAATTAAACTACAAAAAATACTCAAAACCTTAACAAAAAAAAAAAAAGCAACCAAGGATCTTAGATTTGGTTTAAACGTTTCCTAATTTGAATTCCACTTTCTGAATCAATCATCAAAGAGGAAAAAAGAACCCATAAAAAAACGAAGAAATCGCTCGCCAGTGACTACCCAGTAGTAACTCAAAAACACCTAAATATGTTTCCTCCAAATCAACCCAGTCGCACGAAAAGCTAATCAACGAATGCAAAACTAAAATCGATTACGCTGTTCAAAACGCAGAAACGTAAACGCAGATGCGAGAAATAGAAATGGGTAAGGGATTTAAAATTCGCCGGGAAAACGGTAAAGGGAGAGAGATGCTAAAACAAGCTCAAGTGAGAAGAGGAAGAAGAGGATTAACGCAAATCCTCTCCT